ATTATTATTATTATTATTATTATTGCTTGGTTGCTGACTGGGGTTAAACCACGACACAACTAACATACTCAAGTGATTTTGAGGTAAAGCTCCCACTGAAGACAAAGCTTTAACTTTAACACATATAACATTTGCTGAGATAAGGTCTACTCTTGAGTGGTGGAGTGCACGGTAAATTGAATAGTTCTGCCTTCAATGCTAAAAGAGTAAGGGGCCAGGTCCCTCTTTGTTTTATTTTGTTTTATTTTGTTTTGTTTATTTTTAAAGAAGTTCTTGCTTGGCACAGCAGTTGAGAAGGAAGGAGAAAGGACTATCTGTAGATAGAACTCTGAAGATGGCTTCTTGCCACCATTTTGGGAAAATACTAAAGGCTTTACATATTGTTTTTTACTAGCTCCCACCACATATCTAAGCTTATCAGTAACTGGAGCAGTTGCAGTCACACAGGCACTTTCAGAAAGTAGAATGAACGAGGATCTCATGGTTCAGGTCCAGAAATACAGTTTGTAATCCTGTTGCCAACAGACATCAGAAACAGTCTCTTCTCAAGTCACTTAAATTCTCTGCTATGACCTCTTCCACATGTAGACTTGGACCAATACACAAACACATTTTCAGCTTCAAATCAAAGTCATTTTCAGTGACTTCTAAACTATTAATTTCTCAAATATTTTTGTACGCCCCATGCCAACTGATAGGTATACAGCAAACTGAATTCATGCATGTATTTGCAGCCAAATTTGTCACAATAACTTGTTAAAATTACTTGAATGCATGCATATCTAGTCCTTCATTCCTTTTGAAGAGTATCAAATGCAGTTGTAATTTATGTGATGTAAACAAATTAGACTGAAACTGTCTCAGTTCATAACCTTTACAAACAGCCATTGCAAAATGCTGACATGAAACCTCGATCAAAATGGACCGAACTTCAAAAGCCCACCCAGAATTCAAAGGCATCAGTCCTTAGGTACATCATTTTTAAGTACCTTCTGCATGAAAACAGATTAACATTCCCAGTTGAGCAGTATCACAACAGAAGGATATAATTCTGATAATGAGTCGACAGCTCAGCAACAAAGTTGTCCTGTAGAACTTGTGCTCCAAAGCGTAGGTAGAGTATAACAATGCTGTGGAAAAAAAGTTAAAGCATATAAGTGTGCTGTGTCTTTAAACAGCAAAATTGAAATGGGAGCTTGATAGAAAAGTATATGAGAAAATAATTATGTTAACATGTTGACCATTTATTTTAAGACACATTTGCTTTCATAGCTCTAAATTAAGAATGATTCTTTTGTGATTAAAAATCAGCAGTATTTACTCAACTGAGTGAAGCGGAAAAACAACCCCATGGTCTACTTCCCTCAGATTTCATCCACTACAGACAATCCAAGAGTCAAGAGTAATTTGAAGTAACTGCTTGGAGTGGGGGAGACAGATATTAACAATAATCTAAGAAACTAAATCTAAACTTCTGCTTTGACTAAGTGAAGCTTACAAAGCTCCAGAAGAGGTGAGCGGTGCACTGCAGACCACTCAGCAGTACAGAAAACATCTCTGCTAAGTGAACCTCTAAATCTTGCAGTGTACTGCTGTGGTAATGGAAATAATATAAAGTTAGCTCTAAAAGCCTCAAGAAGGGTTAAAAAATTAAGAAATGTTTGCCATAACAATCATATTAAAAGACATTCCTCAGTTTCATTGACAATTTTAAAATCAACAAAATGTATTCAAAGCCCTGGGAAAAAAGTTATAAAAGTTACAGCACTGAGAAACGTACTTTGAAAAGCCTTACCTACTGACAAGCACTACAAAGGTTAATGCAGTCAAGAATTTTAACCTGAGATCTGAAAAAGATTGAGAAAAGTTGTTATTAGCAAATTTACACCTACGTCTAGGAGAAGCAAGCCTGTTTGGGGAAGAATCAAAAGAAATATTCCTTACCAACATAAGGCATGTTACGAAGTTCTGAGCATGCCCTCACTATCAGGAACAAAAGGTAGAGAATGTATGTGGTTGCCACCACAAGGAAGAAGATTTTCATTCCCTATAAGAAGAGCGTTAGTTTTTATTATTTAACGAGATTTGGTCTATTCCTTCTTCCCTCAATAGAAATCATTATTTCCAGAAGCACAACACAGAATGGTCCATTTATTCAGGGAAAGTAGGCTCATGAAAGGAAGTACAAAACAAGGATGGCTGTACGTCAAGGTAGGTTTTTGGGGAATGTAAAGAAAGGATGTTTAATAGAAGTCATAATTTTGTTCACTGAGTTCACAGCGAGCTGAATCTCAATGATTTTCTAAAAACACAGCCCCTGAGAACAATATAAGGACCCATATAAATCAGATCTTCCTTTACAACAAGAAAGTCTGAAATTTACTAGGACAGAGGATCTTGGCAGGAGTAAAGATGTACAAAACTGACTTAATAAGAGGCTTAAAAATTTTTCTTTCAATCCCAACAGTCATGAGTCTGTGACTAAACTTGTGGTGTTGAGTCTCCAGATTTGGAAGACAATTTACTCTTCTCATCGGGATGGAGCTCAATATGGCCTATGCGTGATCTAAAGCAAAATTAAAAGTACCCTAGTCAGAATAAGACCATCCGACCAGCACTTGCTATTTTCTAAATTGTGTTACAGATTTTAATAGAAGAACAAACCCCACCTCCTTGTATTGCCTAACTCCACCTGACAATTTAATAGCAAGAAAACATTTCTGACTTACCTGGAAATTACCTGTGTCGACTCTGTATTGATATGTAGGATCATGTACTTCATTAACACTAGAAAAGATTCAAAATGAAAAAGTGGTGCTTACACCATTACAAAAGACAAGGTCAAAAAGCCGTACTGACCAAGAAACCCACTAACAAAGAAAAGGTTTAAAGTTACTATACGGAGTTTATAACTAAAGGTTTTGGCTGTATAAATCGGTGCAATGCCATTGATTGCATGACAATTTACAGTATATGACATCCTCCTTCTTCCCAAACCCAATTTTGAAGGAATATGGAGGATTTCAGTTGTGAGCATGTCTAATCTGCCCACTTATTTTTTTAGAAAATGTATCGTCTCATAAATTCCTACAAGCCTTCAGGATTTAGTGTTTAGTTTTTATCCTTGGTGATAAGAATTTTACTTAAGAAATAACTGTGGTATAAGCCCTTCCCTCATAGCAATTCTACTGATAGGGCATCAGCACAAGCATTTTCTGCAACTGCACTGCTTTCAACAATGTACAACGGCATGGAGAAGGTTAGAAGGTGTCTTCCTTCTGAGAAATAAAATAAGAGGTAAACACTTGAGACTAAAATGGTTTAGAAACTACAAATGTACCAAAACTGAGAAAGTTTTCTGGGTGGGGAATAGCGACACCTTTATGTTAACACAACAAATTGGGAAAAAAGAGAGAAACACTAAACCAAGCAAAAGAACTGAGTTTTGAGGAGAGATAGCATAGCTTGACTAAGCAGCGTCAATACCAATTGTGCAGGTTTAATAGTTGAGAAAGTTTGGTCAAACTGTGTAACAATTAACTACAGAGAAACTGTTGCTTCAAATACTAAAAGCTAATTGGGTAGTGCTAGAGGGAGTATTGTAGGGAGTCATAACGTATTGACAAAGTAGTGATTTCTAGATCTCACTCTGGTTTATAAAATTATGTACTACTAGATCGTCCATGGGGAATTGTGTTTTCAAATCAGTCACAATTTGCAAAACAGAAAGATGTAAGAATTTGAACTCCATTCCTCTATCACAATCAGAGCACTAAGAAACAGATACCACTAATTATAAACAATCTTCTAATTCCTGAACACTCTCAACTCGCCACTTTTGCACTAAATTTTAAATTACTTACGTTTGCCATATTCCCAGTGTAACAGAGGCCAGCCACAATAGTCCAACAATAAAGAATTTGGGCAGATAAAAAGTTAAGCACTTCCTTTCCCCCTGTTGGGAAAACAATAGTGTGGTGAAGGAGTGAACCCACAGTTGAGATTTCATTCATTCTTGACAGAATAAACTAACTATCATCTTTGTTTCATTCAAGATGAACTAGATTAAGACACTCACCTTATGTATTTTTAACCTGCACAGGTGATTACAGAAGACGTAAAATTGTATCATCATTTGTGTTAATAAGATACAGTAGATTTGGAGCATCCTATTTATAAGGTCTCACATATTTCACTGATACTGCAAATACAGGAATATGCTCCAGAATTCATATTTATCATATGCAGTATTTTAAAGTCGTTTAAAAGACAATCAACCACCATATACAACAACAAAACCCTTCAAGCAAGAACAAAGCATAATGGCATCATAATTCTGAAGGCTGTCTTGCAATAATTTAGAGTGGACTGTCCCATCTCTCTCATTTAGGCATGGTATCCTCAAGACAATCTGCTTCACCACAAATCATTTTAACGCCAAAGCTTCATGTGTCACATTGTACTTTAAGAATAAAATAAATGTCTCTTTTTTAAAAATTTGGTTTCATTTTTGTCACCTTTTGAGAGGACTGAAAAGACAAGCACTGCCTTCTGAGTAAGTAGTAGATAATGTTATACCCTTACCTGTACTCTTATACCATGGTAGACACAAAGCCAGAACAGCAACAGTGCACACAGAAACAGTGACTGGAATAGATCATCCAGCATTCCAGGAAACCAGCTGTTCACCAGAAAAGAAAGGGGGAAAAATGGATCTGTAACAAAATAAGGAAAAAAAAAAGTTAAACAGAGGGGAAAAAGCACAGTCTTTTCCATTACGAAAAGTAAAGCAGGACGTATCTTCAGAAGAACAAAAAACCCTAGATTTTTCAAATTACACCAGTAAATGAAATCGAAGGTTGCTGTATCTTAAAGTTATTTACATAGAAAATGGTGCCTCCAGCAGCAATCCTCGGTGTTGTAGGAATAATCTGAAATGGTTGCCAACATTTCTAGAAGATTTCAGGTTTCATTAGACTTTCTACTAAACCACTGTTCTTGGTGATGACCTAAAAAATGATCATAGAATGACTGAAAGGCAAATATTCTTTTGGTACTGCTAGAGAGTGCTAGAATTTGATGTGGTTTACCAGACTAAAAGTAGCCTCCATTTTTAACTAAAGCGCGAGTATCTGAAAAATGAAGAAGACTTAGCAGACAAACACAGAAATTGCATTTACATGTCGCTATATGAAAGGTTCAGTATGGTTGCTGCCGCCTATTCCAATCAGAGCTTTCAACAAATAGAGTTGACATACATGTGACTGAAAAGAATGAAATCCACCTACTCATTATGCCATTGAATTTGATACACTTAAAAAGGGTTGGGGGTTTTTTAAAATTGGTTTTCTGAAGCCTTATAAACAGCTGCTTATAAGTTCAAGGCCAAATTCCATTTTGCCTTCTCTCTCTCACTCTCTTTTTTTCTTTTCTTTTTTTTTTTTTTTAAAAAAAAGGGGAGCTTTTCTAAAAATTCCAGGATACAAGTACCATTGTAAAGTAGCAGGAGGGGAAGGAGGATGGACATCCATTTCTGTTCAATACCCCAGTCTCTCATGGAGAATTTCCGCAGGGAATGTGCAAACAGACACTGTAAAACAACAAGAAAAATTTGTATGGAAGGAATACAGCCTTAATGGTTTTACCAGAGTAAAAAGATAACACAGCACAATGCAAAGGCTACTTCATGAGGTCTTTGCAACTGAGAACATTGTAAAACAGGAGCCATATCTCCTAGCTTCTACTTCTGCTTCAAGTTTGCTGGCTTACCCCAATGCAAATTACTTAATCTCTCAAGCAAACTGAGAAGGAAACCAGCTAGTACCGTGCAAATCAACAATGTATGAAAAAATGTTGCCTAATTACTGGTCACACGCTACCAACAACTTCCACTTAAACTCACTTTTAAAAAAAAAACAGATTCCATATCACATTCACAGTTACCTGCCGAGTGACATCATCTATGTAAGAAAAATGCTATGCAAGTGTTCAGTGCTTTAGTGTCCTTACTCCGAAAATTCTGCATTTTAGATTTTATGTTGGTTTTTTTTCCAAACACTTCTTTTCCAGGGGCCAAACCAGGTTGGAGGGGAGAGATAATCTAAATCGTAGCATAATTTAGGTTGTAAGGGACCTCTGGAGGTCATCTGGCCCATCCTCACACTCAAGGCAGTGACGACTTTAAAGTTAGATCAAGGTCATATTCAACTGAGTTTTGCTCATTTTCAGAGATGGAGAGCCCACGCTCTGGGCATCCTATTCCAATGTCTAAGCCTACCTACGCTGCAAAAAAATATTTTTTCTAGCATCGAATTACAATTTCCTTTGTTTAAACAAAATTCTTTCTGTTCAATTCAAAATCAGAGTTTAGAAAAACAAGTTTTCCCATTTATCCTATTTTCTTAATGTCCCTTCAATACCACTGGTAAAAACACAAAAGCAGCAACTACATAAGTATTTTAGAAACATTTTTTACACCCATTCAGTGATATCTCAACTCTGCTGCCCGAGGTTAAGTTACTAAACACAACACTACAAAATAGTGTTATCAACTGCCTACAGAATATACTCCAGAAAAACTAAAAAAAAAATCTTACCGTGACCATAAAAGTGAGAACTACAAAGACAAATCGGAACCATATTTCCACTTGAGAAAAAGTTGGATTGTAGGTCTTCCACTACAGGAAAAGAAAAGAAAGATAGCCCAATGAACAATATTTTGACAGGGTACATACAACATCAATAATTAGCACTTTCTGCAGATACTGAAAAGTTCTCTGGCTTTTCAAAATTTAAAGGTATAACCAAGTTCCACCACATCACCGTGGAAAGAAAAAGATAAACTCATACCCGTAGGACTATCTGACAAAAAGATAACCAAAGCAGCCTAATACCCTTGCTTCTCTTTTACCCTGCCACTTTGTAACATACTCAGTGTGCTGTCATATGTTAAAGCACTTCTCAGGACAAAAAGGATATTCTTCACTGACTTCAACTGCACTTTCATTCAAAGTTTGAATGCCAATAATTGAGTAAATCCAGTATGTTCTTCTTTATTACCAAGGTCAGATGCATAAATTGATTATGAAGAGGTTGATAAGGTACAGGCATGCTTCCTGTAATGGGTTCGTTTTCTTAAAGCTTATTCTCTTGTGTCAGAAGAGGAAAAAAGAAAATCAAGTAAGGGAAGAATAAATGAGCGAACCAGAAGTAAAGAACTTTTTTCATAGGTTAAGGAGGAAAAGCTCCTTCAGCTTCTCTAGTTACTAGAAGGGCACAAATATTAATTATAACATGTCAGTTTGCATAAACTCTGCTCTGTTGACAATTTCTCTCATACCTGGCATGCTTCTCTTTTGAAGCCACTTTTGAAATATAAACTCCCTGGTACAACATATGCTTTGCCCACCTGGACAAGAAGCTTTACCTTTCAATGTATTGAATCTGTCAACTTCTGTCTTGTCTTTTTAAACCATAAATGTAGAATGAAAATTATATGTAGAGAATCCCATTATACAAGAGGCAATCTATGATTTCAACTGAGATCACCATAAACCATTGTAATAATGAAATAAATTGACAATTTAATTGCTGTGGGAAAGCAGGGCTTTGGGTTTGGGTTTTTTGGTTTTGCGCACAAGTCTGCCTTAAAGGCAGTCTGCCAAGCAAGATGATAAACCGTACAACTATAAATGCTCCAACACTTTGTCCCGTTTGAAATCTCTGACTAAGCAAAGGGTTTGTGAGTTTGGGGGTTTTTTCCCCTTAGAGCTTATTTTTAAATGACGTGCTTTATGCGCTAGAACATTACAAATATTAATATTCAGGAAGTTCATTTAGTATATAAAAAACACTTTTGCTTTACAGTAAGATTTTTGCTTGCTACCTGCTCTGACATACCGAACATTGCATACAGGTAGAATATACCACAGTAACCTGTATTATAAATTCCATTTTCTCCCTATGCAAATGTTTCTACATTTCTTTCTGGAGCCAGTCAGCACACACTGATGATGTAACTGTTTTATAAGCAATCTTTAGCACTATGAACTGAGCTAGTTATTTCACTAGGGATTATTTTAGTGAATTATTTTATTAGTCTGCTTATTTTAGCTGAATAAACATTTTTTTCTTCCTCATAAGCACAGAAAAAAAAAAATTTCATTTTTCTTTGCGTTTGTTAAATCTTTCTAGCCCATGCTTTCGTAAAGCCTGGAAAAATCTTGCTAATTCAGATACACCTACTGAAAGGCTGAAAAAGATACCATGCTTTAGAGAGGCAACTTCTCTATAAGCAAATGCAGAAAACTGGATGTTCTAGTCTAGCTTGCATACTGTTAAAAATATCTCCCAGGAATTAGACTAGATGTATGTGTTCCAGAAAACAGCATTAGCAGTTCTGAAAGAAAAATCTTTCCTTATAGAGTTAAAAAAATTGGTCTAGACCCTTATTAACAGCAAATGCTATAACAGTTCCGACATTAGTAGTGACAGAACAATTAATTATGATGCATCTTTATATTTATCTTCAAAAATGAGATAACTTTTTTATTATAGTTAAAGTAGATGTATGTGTTCCAGAAAACAGCATTAGCAGTTCTGAAAGAAAAATCTTTCCTTATAGAGTTAAAAAAATTGGTCTAGACCCTTATTAACAGCAAATGCTATAACAGTTCCGACATTAGTAGTGACAGAACAATTAATTATGATGCATCTTTATATTTATCTTCAAAAATGAGATAACTTTTTTATTATAGTTAAAGACTTCTACAACAGCATTAGCAATTAAAGAGATTTCTTTTGCTAGTAAAATTTTGTACTTACTGTGAAAGTAATATTCTGGATGGTGTACGTTAACTTATTTAGATCTTCAAAGCTAACAAATATGTTGTACTGAGTGTAGTTCAGGTAGCCAAGGTGAGCAACAATGATTTCACTGCATTTCTGTGAACACATACAGTGAAGAATAGTATGTAAAAACCTTCAATTTATTCCAGAATATGCACTGTTAATATAGGTTGGAGAATTTGTTTCTAAACGGTCAGATATTGATGATATTTATTATATGCCTTACCAATCTTGATCAGTCAGACTAAGACTCAAACAAAACCCACAGATAACAAATTTCTTGAAAGATACCAGACAAAGCAGAAGAAACTGATAAAGTCAGTCAGCAGGATGAAAGGTTGACCCAATAAACAAGGCTAGCTTTTCCCATAAGCTGGTGAAAGCAACTGCGTGCAGCACCAGGAAGGATCTGAATAACTCTGTCAGCCAAGCTCTAGGTCATCTGATTGTGAGATGGGGCTATCTTGTGCTAACTCATTTCTGAAAGTTAACAGGAGGAAAGAGAAAACCCAAGCATATTGCTCTCTTGGCTGCATGTAATTAAATCTAATGGAACACTGTTCATTAATTTCTGCAGATTTCATATGTGTGTGTATATATATAAAAAGAAAACATTTGATTTACCCTATATGCTTATCAAAAAAACTTCAGCTATGCCCTTCCTAAAGGACTTACATCTGGAGAAGCTGTTTTGGATGTCTCTAAGCTTAAAAATTTCAGTGAAAATTATACTAGAAACTCAAAACTTTAAACATTTCTTCACAGGTGGCAGAAATTTGGCTTTTTCAGAACACAGATGCCAGCTGATTTCAACCAGACTCTCTGCCAGGTGTTGGAGGAGAATTTTTTTCTCCTCTGGAGCCCTATATCCAATCTTCTACTACAATATTCCTTTCTTCAGTACTGTTAAATCTGTTTAGGTGACTAAGCAGGACACACTGCTTTGCTGGCAGAGACCTACTCTAAAAAGAAAGAGGGGTCTTTAAGGGGTAATAGACACAAGTCATAGAAGTAAACAGAAAAAGACGGATAGGTAGGTATCTTGGTCAGCATTACTAGCTAGGTTGCAATTATAAATAAAACTATACTCTAGAGTCTTTCCTGAGACATGCTTAACAGATATATTCTTCTCATTTGCAATGTAATGTAACATGCACACAAATAGATTTAAAGAAAATGTAATGCATCAGAGTTTTGTTTAAGCAGGCACATACTTGTGCACAACTGAGTAATCTCGTCCGATTGTGAACTTGATTATTAACATATGGTGTGCTTCCATCCTTCACCACTCCAAGTACTTTGACTGTCATAGTAACATTCTTTTTGAGGGATACTGTAATTAAAAGAGAAAACATTAAGCTATTGCTACATGCAGAAATGAAATCTCAAATAGAGTTCCAAATATAATTTAAAACACATATGATATCCAAAGATTACTCAAAGTTATTCAGTTATACTTTACTGGAGTAGGGGTCCAGTATATTAATAAAAAAACCCACAAAACTTTTTATTTATATGTTTAGGCAGTAATTCACAAATGCCCTGTACTGAATCTTAACAGACTAACAATTACTAATACAGTATTTCTCATGTATTTACAGAGAACTTCTATTGAAAAATTAATATCATTACAATCTACACATCTAATTCCCCCCAAAATGAAGCGAGAGACACAGATTCTCTAGATACTACTGCTTTCACAGAAATAACAAACAACTTATCCCATATACCTGTTGCTTCCAGTTCTCAAGATGAGTGCTGTCCATGTCTTTACTGGGGGCAAGGGGTGGAGGGGCAGAAACTGTATCAGAGGAAAAACCCACCAACCATAGCCAGAAAGCAACAGGATCACGTATGTGACAGATGAAGTTAAAGATACAATATACCATATACAGGTTGCTATAGCAGTTTCCTGAGAATTAGGTAAGATTCTCACCATCGTGCTGATCCAACTCAACTATGCAGGTCAGCCATAGCTGCTGATTGTAAGTAGACAGTGGTGGTGAACTTAAATTAAATGGCTTCAGCTGTAAAAAAAACCCACAAGTTTAGCACCAGCCATTATGCTGTTACATGATATATCTGTAGTTACAATGATGAAAGGCATGTTAATTATGTTTGTGACAATATTTTTGGGAATAGATTTTATATGTGCTACACTATGGACAGTATGATAAGCAGCTCAAATATAAGTCTTCCAGAGAAGTAGCTTAAACAGCACACATATTTTGCACAGCACTGAAGTAAGGAAAGGTACGACTACTTAAAGCACATAAAAGCAGCAGCAATAAAACAGAAAAGTTCAGATATGAAAAACAAAATCCTGAGACCTAGCTTGAAAATAAAAAGTAATTTCTAGCACTTTACATCAAAAGTCAGATTTGTGACCCCTCACCTGCTACACAGTTTTAAACCTGTTCAAATATAATTATGAAAACAACAACTATTTGTCCACTAGGTTTTCTAAAAATCCCACATTCATTTCAAAAGCATGGAAGATCTCATTAGCAGATAAAACCTACGTGCAGGAAAGACTTCTCCTATTTGATATAAAAATATGCTTTTTAAAAATAAAATCCACCCAGAATACAGTAGCAATCCAAACATATATAGGTGACTAACAGACCAAAAAAAGAAACGTTCCAGTGTATTTAAAGAAAATTTACTTTAAGAAACCCCTCAAAACAAAACAACAAAACTTTTTTTGGCACTTTCACAAAAGTTACTTTAGATATTAGGTTGACAGCGAAGAGCTAGACAAATAAAAATGCAAGAACTGAGAACCAAAATATGAAAGCTTTTAAGAAAATGAATGTGAAGGTTCATGTTAGGAAGCCAGATCCCATGTCTTGGTCACATGACAGTGAACAATTAACAAGAAAAAGAAATATTCCTTCCTGATAGAAAGGAACATCACAAGAGGGATATCATTAGTTGCCACTGAGAGCATTGTTTTTCAGTTTATGTTCTCAATTTCTGTTTCTGGACCCCCTACAAGAATCTCCAACATGAACTCACCAGGGAATCCTATCAACACTCAAGTGTTACTTTATCGCAAATTGCTGTGCAGAAACATCATAGAATTCTCTACCTTACCTGCTCACAAAAGTAAGAGACTAGAAATTGCTGCTGAGCCACTCATGAAATAACACAGTGGTAGTACAATATTGCATGTTCAATTTCAAACTGGAAAGCACCATGTGGCCAAGAAGTCTTCCAGTAAAAAACTAAATACTTAAAATAATTGGGGGGAAGGAGGGGAACGTTTAACATTACTGACATCAAATAAAGCCATTCATGTAATCCAACGATATTTATTAACTCTTACCTTTAGGCTGTTATTTAAGTCGGTTCTTGCTACAGAAGTTTCAATTACATTAGGACCTACACAATATATAAGAAGGAAGAAAGAAAACAATATTGAAGTATGTGTATTACCGATAAGTAATGATGTAAATATAGGATTTCAAAAGACTGTACAAAATACCTCCCTGCAAAGCAGGTAAATAGTATCCTGCTTTTCAGATGTTTAAGCTGAAGGGTAAATCACTTAGACATTTCAATATTATTAATAAACTTGGCCTGAATGTTCCTTTAAGCCTCTCTGCCATAATATTTCTAGGCATGATTAAATAGGAAGTAGATTATAATTCAAGAACTCCGTGTCAGAAGCCCTGCATGTGTACTCTAAACTACTACAACAAACCACATGGTATTTTTCCCAAGCTAAGCTGTACACTGCAGTCATGAAAGTACTCAGCTGCAGAAAAAGCTAGCTAAGCACCAGTGGCACTGTCATCACAGCAACTTGAAGCTCAACAAGGGCTGCAAAAACCACCCAAAACCCAGCATATTTAATTGCACTCTGAAGTTTCTATAGCCAAACTGCTACCATTACCTGATTTACATAGAGCATAGTGTCCATAAGGCATTGCACTCAAGGCGCAGGTACCAGGGCAAACACATCCCATTGTATTTGAGTGCATGATGCTAATGCCTTTTTATGTACGTGTAGTGTACTTGCTTGTACAATCACAATAACAGTACTTTCTGGCTAGTGCTGGATTTTCATCACATTGGTCTGTTCAAGCCAAGATACCCACATGTTTGTTTAGGAACAGTTCTCAGTCTACTCAGATTGGGCCCCTCCTTTTCTATAGCAATCTGGAGCTATAATATATTATGTATATCATCACATAAATAAACATAATTGCATAAAAGTTCTACAAACAATTTATCCTAAAACAGACAATCCATTTAATCAATGGAGTTTCACGTCCAATTGTAGTGGGAGATGTTCAGCTCGCTACCACACTTTTTATGCAACCTTTCCTCCAATCATTCTGGGTACAGACACACACACTTAACATGTACTGATCAACTGCATCCATCCACTCACACTCTACCTCTAGTTCTGTATGCGGTAAATGGGAAGCTATAAAATCTTAATTTATGTTAGAAGAGACCTCCAGGGGCCATCTAGTCCACCCTCTTGTTTAATTAGATCAGTTTGCTCAGGGCCACATCTAGTCAAGTCTTGAACATCTCCAAGGATAGAGACTCCCACAACCTCCCTGGGCAACCTGTTCCAGTTTTTAACCACCCTTACGGTAAGAAAAAAATTCCTAATATCTAACTGGAATTTCTTGTGTTCCAGCTTGTGTCTGTTGCCTCTCACCCTATCATCATGCACCTCTGAGAAGAGTCTAGCCCCATCTTCTGTGTATCCTCTGATAAGGTTGTTGTAGACAGCGGTACGGTTTCCCCTTAGCCTTCTTAGGTATGCAAGAACACATGGTACTGGGGAGAAGAGGAATGCATGCACATGTACATACACAAAAGGACTAACCCAGAAAAATGAAAAGGAAGAGTAGGAAAAGGTCTGTATCTATATACCGGGGTGTGAACAAACACAGAGGAGATGCATAGCAGGTGTGGACATAGGCAGGACATATACGTGTGTATCTGGGTCACTCTAGAGGCTTCCCAGTCACAGTAAGATTTCTCTGTCCAAATGGTCTCTCCCCTTACGTATTCGGTCTGGCAATTTACTGTAATTTATTAATCCTCAAAACACGCTGTTTCAGCCACAAACTTAGTATTAAAAAAATTATGCAAGAAAAGCAGTTTTTCACAAAGACCATGGACTTCAAAGTTACCACAGAGAAACAGTGGAAAAGAGGACGTTTATAAATGAGCAACATGGGATCATTCTGTGCAAGAAGTATTTTAGGTTAGCTGTCATGACAGCTATAAACATGCAGCATTGCTTGGGCTTCTATAACCACTCTAATTACAATATTAACCATCTTACAGACTTCAAATGGAAAAATGAAGAATTTCACCCATCACATTCAAAGCTGCATATTAGAATTACAGTTCAACTTCACTAACAGCCACCCACTATAAAGTCAGTTCTGTACCGTTGAACTTTTCAGTTCTCAAGTACATATAAACAGGGCAGATTTTTGGAAGGCATTTTTGTTTTGAAAAGCGTAACTCAATTTCTAAGTGCTCACAGTTGATAAGTCATCATATTTCAGTAATTAAGTCTTAACAAAAACATTAGAATGAGCCTTTTTAGAAAGGTTTTTTTTTTTACCAGAAGATACGAACCAATACTGGGGCAGAGAGATCATAGTCTCAGTTTTTAAGAGCAGCAACCAAAAAAATAATGAGGTTCTACTGCTGTAACTGCTACTCCTCTAGCAAGCAATATATTAAAGCTTTTAAAAGCAACTGACCAAAATGATGGTGATTAAATTACATTGTTATTGTTTTTCTTTCAGTTTTGCTCAGTTAACAGAATCACATCTGAAAGCAAAGAACCACCCTGAGGCGGTGAACAGGAAAACTGCACAGGTACAGAAAACGAGCTCTGCACCTTCTATTTTCCTTGCACTTGTCTCACCCCAAAGATAACACAGACCCCTTGGGAAAAGGGAAAGAAAGTGAGTGTAACTTGGGAAAAAAACGAAACAAGTCTGCGTCTGTCTTGGGTTACAAGAACTGAAGAGCAACAGCCACCTCAGATTAAACTGTCTTGTTTTCTCAGATGAGAAGCAAGACTTCTGCTAGGCTTCCCAAACTGCAGATAAAGATGTTGAGTATGGGCAATGGCATATTCAAGTAGCACAGAAAATACGGATGTATCTCCCACTTTTTCGTTTACTTAGTGGGTTTGGTGAGTTTTGCTCAGACTGCACCGTTTAATGAGGGAGCACTCCATTGTTAGTGCCCCTCCCTCTGTTCACAGGAAGCAAGGAGCTGTCAACAAAAGCTGCGAAAAACATCACACTAAGTGTTCAGTGGGTGTCCTCCCAAGGTAAACAGCATTCTTTTAAAAATAATTAAGTTATAATAGTGAACTGTGTTCACGCTTTGGCAACAAAACTATCCAGCAAACCAATCTTACAAGGACAAGAATCCCACAGCTGTGCCACTTCCTGAAGGGGATCACAGGCGAGTCCTGGGACCCCAGCAGGGTACAGATGACCAAGCGTTGCTTACAGCAGCCAAGTCCCCTGGACCAAAGGCAACCACATCATCAGATCACTCTGCACGCAGATGCAATGCGACACACCAACACAGCTCTCTTTCAGGTTCTGCTACCAAGTAAGAATGAAATGCTCAGTTTTCTCTTCCAGGAGCACTGCTTTTTGCCTAGTCTTACGTAAAACAACTTTCTTGCACTTCTTGCAACTGGACAGTATAAATACACAACTACAAATATGGTTCACTTTTTAAGCCAAATAGACAAATGACACTAAATTAAGTAATTCCAGGTTTTTTTCCTTTATCATTCATATAAAATGCATTTTTGTAAATGTATTTATATGGTGTTTTAGTGGCCAAATAACGGCCTTCAGCATCCTTAGGCAAGTCACAGGAATATCAGTGATTAACCTTTATGAACTGAAAGTCTGTTTGCACCTTAGGCTGCTACAATAAATCAAACAGCAGGAAAGAAGGTTTTATTTCACAGACAAATCTTATTATTTAATGCTATCATGAAGAATGTACTGCTTACAAGGCACGGATGGGCACAAAAAGCCCAAACAACTGCGTCCAATTAACCCTCCTGCTTCTTTCCAAGGCAGGCAGGAGCAGATGAGTCGCAGGCCTGGGCAGCCCATCTCATTCTAAAGGAAGTGAAGGATAGGGCAGAGGTAGAGACAACCCTACAGACAGGTCAAGAGGCGTCAGACAGTGGCACAGGAGAACACGCTGGGTGACATGGAAATAAGCAGTAAAGTGGGGGGAGGTGGTAATGTCCTTAAATAATTCTTACATGGGGGGTGGGTTGCTTAATGAGTACAAGTCCCTCCTTTCCCCTCTCCCCGTCTGTCACTTAACTTCTGTGTTGACAAAACTATCCTGACAGCAGAGTATTAGCTTATTAACACTGCAGTGACAGCACACTGACTTCTTTTTCAAGTATGTTTTAGACCTGGAAAAGCTCTCTGGCATGAAATACGGAGGGATCCCACGCTTTCCATCTGCCTAATGACACTCTGCATCTTTGTCGACCAGACTTCCACAAATCTCTCTGATCTCCAGGATAAGTAACCAGGCACTAAGTGCTTAGCCTCCCAGATCACGTCATGACTCCCACAAAGGTTTAAAACCAGAGACCTAAGCACATATATGTTCGACAACAGAAGTTCGTATTTTTACATTACTAAAATATTTTATATTTCTGTGGTATTTATCACCCAAACATTTAGAAGGCTTTACAAACAGTTATCAACTGCCTCACAGGAAATCAAGTGTTAGCACCACCGTTTTACAGATTGAAATACAAAGAAGAAAATTAGTGTAGCAGTCTGCTGAAAAATTATGTTACAGTGAAGCTGGTTTTGTTTTACTCTACTGACTCTCCCCTGCAAAGCAGTTGCAAATACCAAATCTGTGTAGGTAGTGCTCCTATGAAAAAATGAGATGGAAGATACACTTCCCCCTCCTTGTCAAAAGTAATGCTTCCTCAGACATCTCAGGGGCAGTAAGCTCATTAGCATTTAAATACATCTGTAAATACCAACAGGTTTAGTCAAAGCATAAAAGAACTGTAATTTTTTAAAAAGACAGCATCCTTACCTGCTATTCCTATGAAGACTGTCAAACCAAAACAAACAAAGAATACTACAAAGACCAGAACAAAATGCCGTTTGGACAGTGTATATAATCGCATTGGTGCCAGCCTACAGGAAGCAAAAGAAAGCACAGAATTAGCTGTTGGTCATATTTCTAAAGGGGGGGGGAAACAGACCCCATTCATTCCTCCACAAAGAAAATAAAAAAAAAAATAATGCTGCTTTATAGAGCAAGGATATTTACTAGGAATTATTAGACATATGTATGCACATGCACATCTGCGCCCCAAAATGTATGAATTTTGCCCATTCTTTTTATGCTACGGTTTTCTATTGTCCTCAGACTTGAGCAAGAGAAAGCATTTATTGGAGAAAAAGTTACATTTTTTTAGTTCATACGTTAATAATTTAAACATCCATGATACCATGTCTTCAGCAATGACAGCTTAACCTAAAGGGATTGATGTCACTAACAACTCAGTTACCTGCACAGGATGTTGATGAGTTTTCTACACCCTATATATATACTTCATCCCTGCAGGATCACCCCTAACGAGGCGTAAGGCAGAACTCCAGATCTGCTAGGTGTGCATGCTCAGGCTCTGCATCGTGTCTGAGCTCCACCAAAACTTGGGAAATAGAAACCTGACTTAAGCTTATTATTAGACACTTAAATACAAATACACATAAAAGCAATGACATCTCTTCCACAACTGGTTGGTGGTTATCATTAGGTTAAAGACAAAATAGAGGGCGAAAAAGTACTGAAAGGGTCAACTGCATTCTCTTGGAAACAGGTAAATTCCAGTTCTGTTAGCTTAAGGGAAATATGATCAAAGAATTAATCCTATATAACATATCCCTCCTTTATCTTCCTTTTTGTTAAATGCATAGTTCAAAAAAGGACAAATCCACCATGCTGCAAAATACAGCCAACATTTTGTTTTGAGTTATGCCGGAACTGAGCCACCATATAGTTGATTTTCTACTGCTCTTCCAGTAGGTATGATCATAGAAAGCTGTACAGTTTATATGGGAAAGCTGTAGGATTGGGGCGGTGGTGTTTTCCGATAAAGTTGTAAGAGCACCGTCATGGAAAGAAATGAAAGCATAAGACTTTAATGACAGTGCTCCCTTTCAGCTTGGAATAAAACTTCTTTTCACCAGCTGAATGGTGCTCTTACTGGTTCACAACATTAATGAAGAAATGCAGAAAAGGTGATGGAATCCTTTCCATAAGCCCAGCCTGAATTCTGGGACCGGGTACCCCCGGCCTGCATGCCTGGCAGCCCTAACAATTCACTTTAAACCAGTAAAAGGATTTAATAATAACATCTATGTTCTTTAAGAATCACTGCATTCTCCCCAAATGAGGCACTACAAAAATAATGACATCATTCCTTTTCTGTAAAGTTTGAAAGATCCAAATCTTAATTTAACTCACAAAGGAGGTGGGGAAGGGAGGAAAAACCTACAGAAGTCATGAGAACTGCAAGCAAGTAACTATAAATGCACAAACTGGCTGAACAGGACTCCGGGCATAGCGCCTGCAAGCACAGTGTGACTTGCCTTGCCACACACCCTTGCGCTGAGCAAAAACCCCGCACCAGCCTAAGGAGTCAGAATAGCTGATTGTACAGGCAAAAAAAGGTAAATCATACGTGAATTTATCACAATCATAAACAGGAGCGGATCAGATCTTTGTCACAGAGATCATCACACAGAACTCTCACAGACAAATATGATTTTAAGTTGACTTTGAAAAATGCCAATTAATACAGGCATTTCAAACCAGGACTTGTCTGCACAACCTGTGCAGGGATATAACTACAGTATTTTCCCTAAATCAATGTCTTAACACCTCAGCCTTCATGCACTTAAACCACTTTAAAGCTATTACATCTGTACTAGTACTAAAATAACTACCTAACTAAATAAAAAAGGTACATTTTCCTATCTGTTCCAAGGGCTCCTTCAGTTCCCCAGATGACCTGGTATTCCTTGTCTGCCTAAGAACACCATGTATGGGATATTATCTTGAAATACCAAAAATACTAATCTTAACAAGAAAATCTTTGACATGTAAAAACAGTACATAAAATGTTGATATGCCTAAACTAACTATAAGGGTTCAAGTGGATACCAAATGCTTCATGGAAGAGCACCCACTGAGGACCACTCAATATGCAGAAACCAGGTCTGGATTGGAAAGTCCATGGGTTGAGAATAGCTGAAGACTGAAAGAGTATCATATATATATATATGCAGGGAAGTATCACATATGCTCGTGCTGTTCTTAACAGCTTACATCTGGGCATCCACTTAACAGCTACAGTCTGGTGCAAGATACTTCTGACTTGCTATGCATATTCTTGGTTCTTTTGATAAGCTTCCTATTTTCCAAGTTTTTGTAGATATTTCAAAGCACATAATGTGAATTATCCACAGTTCTTACAGGAAAGTCACCAGAGTTCACCCAGCCACCACTCACAGCTTTAAGCTATCGGCAATTAGCACCTTGGTTTACTCGTATGCCAGAGCACAGATGCACTTGCAAGCTTTCTAAGAAACATGTTCCAGACATTGGCTCATTCTTTATACCAACTCCTCTCCAGGTGGTGCAGCACCTAGTAGTCAAAATGGGTAGGTATACACCTACATAAGAACAGTCATGCTGGCACTTTACAAAGTGGGGAGGGACACACTGTGTCTTTTCCCTTCTTTCATGCTGGTACTCCTGAAGTCTCATTTAAGCCACTGACTGTATGTGCTACTTTACAGGTCAGTAAGGCAACGTGGACACTTCTTGTAAGAGCAAATGTATGAACTTGGCCAAATCTTAACTACATTTATCGTGAGAGCAAACAACAATTTATAGCATTCCTATCGGATGACGTATTCTTCATTGCCCCTCGCTGCAATAACAGGATTTCCTTGTGTGGTTTAAGTGTCTCATTTCAACCTATCACCAGCTGACATATAAAGCAGATGAAATGATCCTCCCATATGTTCATTGTTTAACATCTCCCTTTTGGAAAGATATTATATAACATTTATGAATATACATAAGTGCAAGTTGATGATCCCCCACTAACAGCTTCTTTCTTACATCTGAAAGGCCTAATAAAGAATGAAATGTTTGAAAGGCATTTATGGGAAAAGCAAAAAAGGTCCCTCACTCTGGAAGCACCTGTTCAAACGAGTTAAGAACCGTGCTTTGCTTTACCAGCGGAAGATGCTTTAATCAGCCTAGCCAAGGCAGCCCGAAGCTCAAGACTAGCCATCCAAGTGTCTGCAGATTTCTCAGGCAGCTTTTACCACCTGTACTGTGTTTTATCCTAACTCAAAGAGAAACTAAATATTTTATAATTAAATTGGATATGTCTGAAACTAACTGCAAAGGAGCAGAAAGCACTGAGAGACAAACAGAGAAATATTATACACAGACATCTGAAATAGTAGTCAGTAAAAACTAAATTGCACTAATGCAACCTGTGATAGAGTGAACTATGGAAATGCACAGCCGTAACAACTGCAATCTTTCAGTAGCCATTCATATGTGAGATGCAAAGGTAGGTTAAATCTTGCTCTTTGAGTAAAGTTTTGGCTCAAATGGTTAAGCAAAATGTTTCTCAGGCTATTCCTCATCTTCAAATCACTTCCCATGCCTGCACAACACAGTCTTTACTAAAGACTATTGTGAAAAACAGAGCCTTTTATACAATAGTTTTCACTTAAGACTCTCACTTTACAGATAGGGAGGCTGTGACAAAAGTGGGATTAAGCAGTAGGTAGCACAGCGTTGATATTAAAATCAGAAATAACTCACTTTTATGTACAGTGTTTTTTCTGACATACAAGCCTCAATATCTCTGCCTCCAACCGCTCTTTCCTATTTTAGTCTCACTCCCAAATAAAACCATCAAAACCACTTCGATTTAACTGATTATATATGCTACCTACACTCATAGTAAAAGGCTCTATCTGTACATACTGCACTTTCTCATGGTTTAAAGACATTGCTTGCTTTGGTGTCCCTCGGAAAACCTTGAGTTTCTTCTTGCAGATGTATTCCACCATGGTTAATAACTAATGAGGCAGCACATGACTACATAAAAAGATGCACACAATTAATATTAACAGTTCTACGTGGTACTGTTATATGACAACTGACAGCTAACCATGACTACGCTAAACAGCTCGCATGCCCTATTAGCACGGGGTGGGTTTGGCTTTTTTTTTAGGGTCTTGTTTGTTGGATTCATTGAAGTCTGAGTAATTGGTCAGGACTATTGCTCTATCCACGCGGAGACACGCCCGGGAAAACAAGTTTTTCTTTTTCCTTAACAGACACAATCTGAGAGTGGAGATACGGGGGGGGGGGGGGGGGTGT